ATTTACTAGAAAAGGGGACTAACTTGTGTTAAGCACTTTACACACATATTCTCATGTAACATCTGTGGTGCACACCTCTAAGCACTCAGAAGGGTTGTTTTTTTTTTTTTAATGGAACAATAGTCAAGACAATTCACTTATTCTAGCTGTATAACAACTATATGTGGTGCTAGGGTCTTTGTACTAGCAGTGAGGGAATGGAGAACTCTGGTGTCTTTCCCTTTCCTGAAGTCACCACACCAGCAAACTGCAGGCCCAGGAGGACTCCATTCTTTTTTATGTGTTTCTCACCACATACACTTATTCTCAACCTTGCAACAAGCACACATCTTACAAAAGCCAGTAGACAGCTCACCTCAATCTGGTCAACTCTCACTTGCTTATATGCCTTCTTCATTTCCTTTACTCCCAATTTCATGGCATCAACCTAATACAGGGCAGAAGAAGTACAAGGTATTTGTTGTTTTATAATAAAGGACCAAGAAGTTGAACTCACAAATACTAGGCAACCATCCTACCACTGTGTTTCATCCCCATCCCAGAAAATACACTATATTTAGAAGTCATGTTTGTGATAGAGAGATGTCCCAGTGATTCACAGCATTTGTTGCTCTTACAGAGGACCTGAGTTAGATTCCCAGTATCCACATGCTCACAACCATCTGTAACTCTGGATCCAAGGGATCTGATGCTCTCTTCTGACTCCTTTGGCACTAGGTACACATGCAAGCAAAATATTTAAACACAGAAAGTCATATTTGCTATCCATTTTTTAAAGTCCACTGGAAAGTATATGAGGTTAAAAATTAAAATGAAGCTGGGAGGTGGCACTCAGGAAGCAGAGGCAGGAGGATCTCTGTGAGTTCAAGGCCAGCCTGCTCTACAGAGTGAGCTCCAGAACAGCCACGGTTACAGAGAGAAACCTTGTCTCGAAAACCAAACAACAACAACAACAAAAATTAAAACAGGAAAAGGAGCTTTGGGCATACCGTGGTCTTAGTGTCCTTCAGTGACTGGATGGTGTAATTAGCTTGCTCCATGTTAAAGGACTGTTGGGCAAGGTTGTCTCGCTGTTGCTCATACCTTTTTGGAGTGAAAATTAGAAATGTGAGCCAAATATAAACGCTTAAGAAAGCAGCCTTAACACAGACAAACAAGCCAAAATCAAAATCATTTAAGAACTATCCTCTCTTACAAAACACCTCCAGAATCGTTTTCTCTTTTATGTACTTGAGTTTTAACTACCCAACTTAAGAACATAGTGTTTGCTCCTTTTTTAAATTTTTGAGAAAGGTCTTGTAGTCCAGGCCAGACACAAACTTGTGGTGATCCTCCTGCTTCAGCTTCCCAAATGCCGGTAATGCAGGTTTGTGTCACCACTCCCAAAACTTGCTCTGTATCTTATTTCATCTTAGTTACATTTTTCTAAGTATTTCCAAAGATAAATTCTCAGAAGTGAAATTTTTGGCGCAAAGGGTAAGACTTTTTATTTTTAAGGTTCTTCATATATATTGGTAAGTGTTTTTCAGGTAGATTCAAAATAATCCTGTATTCATAACTAGGTTATCCAGTGGACTTCAATATATTGTCTGATACTTGAAATAGCCTTTAAAATGTTTTCTATCATATTATAATACTATGTCAAAGACTTATGTCATCATGATCTTTACACAACATTAGGAAACTCTCAAATTAGCAGAAAAAATTCATGATCTAGGAAACTGGTAGATGAATTCATTAAGTTAGTCATGGTGACACATGGAGGCTGAGCCAGGAGACTGGAGGTGAGGGCCAGCCTTGGGTACACAGCAAAATCCTGTCTCTAAAAACAGACACAGGGAAAAAAGAAAGAGAAAAAAAAAAGATAGCTTATATAGAAAACACAATATAGTTTTAGTTTCCTAGGATCACAAGCCTAGGCCAACAAAGTCAAACTGTATTCCTTCCATAAGAAAATATTTTAAAACCAATTGCTACTAAGGTTAATAGTTCTAATGTAACATATCTTGGTCATTCTAGACATTATTAGTTCTTTTTCCTAGTGTGATTTAAGATTTTTAAAAAAATGGAAGACTGCATCTGATATGTTACAAACTCATTTTAAAATTGGAACACAGCCATCCATAATTTTTCTGTTTTCCTACAAGCTGATTATACCTAGCTTCTACAACTCCACAGATGATCTCATAGGCTGAGCAGTCCACGTATTAATTGGGTTTTTCACAAACACTGGGGCATAGTAGTAAAAAACAAATTCTGGACATTTATTCTGGTGAGAGAGAATTAATACCTAGTACCCTAACTTTACAAACAAAACCAAAAAGACCATACTAACTAAACAAGTGGACACCAAACAATATAAACCTGGCCAGCCAAAATAAGTCACTGGTACCATATGGCTACTTAAACTTAAGTTAGTATCATTAAATAGTGGAAGTTTTTGGAAATCTGTAAGAAAATCAAGATTACTTAGAAAATGATATGAAAGCTGGAAAGAATGGAAGACCTTTGCTTTGGGCTTAAACTGTTCTTAGAAAGGAGATGGTGCATGTGACTTACATCCGCTTTTGCTTTAAAACCCTCAGGGCTTTCTGTTTGACCATGTTCTGAGGAGAAAAACAGACTTAATAAAAAAAGAGGGAACATATATGGCAAAAGAAGTCTCCCATATGCTCAGACCCGCACACCTACTTGCTTTCTTCTTCAGATAATAGACACAGAGTTTCCTTGGGTCTATTCTTCCCTTCAAGCACAGGCAAGCCTTAGTGCCCTTCATACCCCACATCTCAGTACCCTGAACTACTCTTCCTTTTCCTGATGCATTTTATTTCCGCTTCCAGCCCCCAAAGTGCCCTCTGTGTATATGCAGCTGCCTTCAATTTAAACACAACATGCTCAACCTCTATCATGTCCTCATGTTCGAAACAATTTATAACGACCCCACCAATCTCTCCCTTTCAGAGTCCGAGAACCTCTACATCAACCTTTGTTTCCTCCCTTTGTTGGTTCTTCATGCAGATTTATCAAATACTACAATATTGTAGACATAGTGCCATGTAGGTGACTTGTTAATCTTCACATTATAATATACGAATTATCTTAACAGATGAGAATATTGAAGCTCAGTGATGCACTGGTTCACACTTAATAAGTTAAGTAGTTGAAAAAAAAAGATAGTTATATATATATCCATAGTCTATTAAGTAGCAATAGTATTAGAACATTGGTCTTACATGCTAATTCAGTACTTTTTCTTTGCCTGCCACTGTAATATATATATAATATATATATATTATATATATATTATATATATATGTATCCTGACCTGGTCAGACTGACAATATCTGGATTCTGAGAACAACCAATTCTTCCTCTCCAGAGTGAGACCTTTTCAGTAGAGCATGCTATGCTTTTGGACATGTGATCAGCATCTTCTACAGCCTCCCTCTTGTATCTGGCTATATTCTCTCTTCTCTGAAGCATTATGTCCTCCCATTTCTCTTCACCAAATTTTGTGTGTGTGTATATATAGATATATCTATATCTATAGATATATAGATATATATCTATATCTATAGATATATCTATATCTATAGATATATCTATATCTATATATAGTTTTTGGACCCTTCATCATTCCCTACACAGTACTTCCTACAGTTGTCACTAACCTTACCTTGGCAGGACCCTCTCTCATCTTCTTGATTTGATCCTTATATTTCACTAGCTCAGCATCCAATCGGGAAATCTTTTTGTCAATGGATTCTGCCCTGCTATCCACCTGGGAGGAAAATGTCAAATGCAGTGGTAATTATTGTAATATCTTTATATGAGCAGGAGGAGAGGAATATAGATAAAACAAACAGGATACAGCAAAAGGTGGAAGTTAGTGGTTTACTTAATTTAAGTGTGCGAAGTTCCTGCCAGAACCTTTAGAGGGCTTCATAAACTCTCTCCCACCTCCCAGAATCTGATGTAGCAGCTCTCCCTCGAGACAAACTGGGCTGGTTGAGATTTCCCAAGTGGGAGACTAGTCAGTTTGGGCACTCTGCATGAAGGTATATGGAACGAGCCAATGGACACAGGTTAACATTAAACCTAACGCCATTTCCACCATCAGGTTTAATCTGGACGGGCCAATGTTCAGAATTCTGTGCTACTCAGATCCAGGACTAAGGTACAGATAATGTTAACCTTGACATGGGTGAGGAAAGAGGAATGAAAATAGGATTTTTAAAGGGCCAGGTAAGACGAAATGGGGTGTTGGGTCCTAGGTAGGATAGGTTGGAATGTGAGGACCAGAGCGAGAAAGGGATGGGGCACAGTGGGCAACAGAAAGTGCAGTAAGGTGAGATAGTGATGACGTTAGGGTGTCTCTGGTTTGTGGGTTCAGGAACGACCTAGAAAACAGGAAGGAAAGGGTGGGGATGGAGAAGATTGAGGTTTAATGGGCCCGAACCAAGAATGGGGTGGAGTAGGACTTCAGGATGGGAGGTTCGGAGAGTCTAGGTATACAAAGTCAAATGCCCACCGTCCCAATGCAGTCAGTCAGGCTAGGTGGCGGAGCCTTGGGTTTCGCTTTTCCGAAGAATCGGTTCATCTTGGCCGGCGGCGTAGAAACAAACACTAGAAGAAAACCAGAAACGGAAGCGTACTCGCTCCGGTTTCAGTTTCCGGGTCCCTCCCACCTATTCCCCACATGCGCAAGCGCAATGTGGCGCAAAGTTTCCCGATCCTTTTTCCGGGTTCAGCTCCTCCTTCCGGAGAAGGAGCGCGGAGCTCTGGGAGAGGTGGAAAGACTTCTGGGGGCGGGGCTTAGGGAGGGCTAGGGCGGTGCCTTGGCGGGGTGGGTGGGGCCTACTGGCTGGGCGTATGGGGCGGGGCCTGAGGCGGGGGTCGGTTCTGAGGGCGTGGCGAGCAGATGGGGCGGAACCGGTGAGTAGTAGGGCGGGGTTGCAGGCCTGCGCGCTCAGCAGCCACTGCTGGGCGGTGAACAAACGCGGGCCTGGCGGATCGCAGCGGCGCGCGAAGACCGCGAGGCGACCCGGAGCCGCTGGGACTCCGGCTGCGCGCCCCTCGGCCCGGCCGGGTGCCGCGCCAGTCGGAGCCCCGGGCCGAGCGCGGCTTGCCTCCCTCTCAGCGTTCATCTGTCTGCAGTGCAGCCAGCGGGCATGACCGATCCACCAGGGGCGCCGCCGCCGGCGCTTGCGGGCCGCGGTTGAAGAAGAAAGTCCGGCCCCACTCTACTCAAAGCGAGTACGTGGCTCACAGCAGGGAGTTAACCAAAGGTAAGAAAGCGATCCGCAGCAAGAAAGTGACCGGGGCCAAGGAGGAGACCCAGCTGGAGGAGGTGACCACGATCGAGGAGGCAACCCAGACTGAGGAGGTGACCGTGGCCGAAGAGGTGACCCAGACCGAGGTCATGGCCCAGAAGGAGGAAATGGTCCAGACGGAGGAAATGGAAACAGCCGGACTCAGCGTGACCATCACCCACAGTGAGCGCCAGGGTGGTCTCCGCAGGTCGGGTTCGGCCACGTGTAGTCCCGGGGGAAGGAAGCACGGGTTCTTGGCTATATCCATGGGGATGTTTTTATGCCTGACGCTGGTGTCAGGACATCTTTCTGTGTGGCAGGTCTGTTTTTTCCCTGGACTTTGTTGGCTCCTCTATTCGGAAGCATAGTTGAGAGTGTTCCGCTAGTAATTGTGGGTCTTTGTGTCAGGCTTGTATTTGGCGGTCCTGTATGTAGGACTTCTGAGGTTCTGGACATCCACCCGCGTCGTGAGTCCGAACTTGGTGCGTGGTTGGGCTGGTCATTACTTATTGAGTACTTTCTGTGTTGGATGTCATCGAACCGCAGGTACAGTGGGCTCTGAGTCCGAAAATTATTTTCTGGACCCCTGCTGAAATTAACACAGAACTAGCACTGGAAAGTACACGAGAAAGCTGAATCCACGAGATTTCCTTAGAATTAGGAGAGACTAATATACTTTGCCATCTTGGAACTGTGATTCTGTGTCCGGAAGATTTAAAAGGACCTTGAGATGGATCTCTCTCTCCCTCTCCCTCCGATTTCTGGTCTATGAGGCACGGATAGGAACTAGGACTCATTTTGACCCTGGATAGGTTGGGAAAGCAGTCTAATAAGCTGGACTTGCACTCCACCTACATAGTAAAGAATTGGCACCTGTGTTCAAGCAAAACAAAGCCTCCTCGTAGTTTGATTAGATTCATTCATTTGTCTTTACTAAGCATTAACTATGGTGTCCTTAGGTGTGCCCAGTAAGAAAGACTTGGAGGAGGAAAGCAGTCCGTTGCTGGTGACTTCATGGGTTACAAGACCAGTGCCATAGAGACATAGAGACACAGGGCTGTGTGGCCACAGTAGGCAGGGTGGCTTGTGATGGAAAACTGTGGACTTTGGAATCAGTTGGATCTAACGCCAAATTGACAGTTGAAGGTTTCTCCAAGCAAGTCTTAATTAGACTGATAGCTGCTCTATGGTGTTGTCCTGGGGTTTTAAGATAATATATGGAACAAGTCTTATATAGCTTATTATGTATAATTGCTTAAAATGTCAGCTGTCATTAAAATGGTCTTTTTATTTTAGAGGAGACAGATCCTTGAGAAGGTCGTCAAAGGCAAGCTTTGTAATAAGCAGCATATGAACTGTGCCTTGGATCTAGTGTGAGCTGGGGATAGGGCTCAGAAGTAGAGCACTGGCCCAGCAAGCCCCAGGCACTGTGTTCAGCTCAGCTCCCTAGGAATGTATCTGCTTATATTCTGGCTTATGTGGAAGAGTCACCTTAACTGAATGTTTTCTTTTTCTCTGCAGGCAATGAGAGGTATGACCTTCTTGTTACCCCACAGCAAGGTAATAGTGAACCAATTGTCCAAGACCTGGCTCAGCTTGTTGAAGAGGCCATAGGGGTTCCGCTGCCTTTTCAGAAGCTCATATTTAAGGGTAGGTGTTTTTCATTCATCTTTGAGTACTTATGGCTAAAGGACAGATTTCATTTTATTTATTTATTATTATTTTTTTCAATATAGAATTTCTCTGTGTAGCCCTGGCTGTCCTGGAACTCACTCTGTAGACCAAGCTGGCCTGGAACTCAGATTGCTGCCTGCCTCTGTCTCCTAAGCTCTGGGATTAAAGGTGTGTGCCACCACTGCCCAGCAAGGACATATTTTAAACAGCTTAGTCTTACCTAATGGTGACTTTCAGTTTTCTATGTGTGTGTGTTGGGTGGGGGGTTACTTGCTTACATGTCTGTATACTATGTATATGCAGTGCCCAGGAAGTCTGGGAGAGGATGTTAAACATCTGTGGAGCTAAGTTACAGAGGGTTGTTAGCCACCATTTGGGTGCTGGGACTTGAACTCTGTTTCTCTGCAAGAGCAAGAAATGCTCAACCACTGAGCCATTTCTTTAGTCCTCAGGGTACTCTTTTACTCACTCACTCACTCACTCACCAGATATTTGTTAAGGACCTTTTCTATACTAGATTTTGCAAACATCTGGGTGAGTATCAGATTTGAAGTGACATGATGATGGAGATGTCAACTTTTTTGGGGAAACAATGGATAGTCTTCTCTGGCTAGGCTATATATCCTTACTCCATTATATGTTCATTTGGTACTCCTTACTACTTCTGCATGATTGTATTGAAGTTACTGTTAAGTTGCCTAGTATCTGATTTCTGTTAGTATGACAACAGAGATGCTGCTTTTGCTGTTTTTCCACCATGCTGGTTAGAGAGGTTCTCAGCAAACTGGCTGTGACCCTGGACAGAGCATTGGATGATGCTGATGATGCTGATTTCTGAGTCACTAGCACCTCCCTACCCCTATCCTTTGTCTTCCCATTCCCATAGGAACCCATTATTTTTGGTAGGGCCAGATTTATATCATTAGGTTTCAGTCATTGTAAATAATTTATTAATGAACATTATAGCAGTGGTAGAGCTTTTGGCTATAGGAATAGGAAGCATTTTTATTTATATTTCATATTATAGATATTTGCTTTTTTTTTTTTCTGAGTAGGAGAGTGGTAGCTTCTTATAGCCCAAGCCATCTTGAAACTGGCTATGTAATATGCACCATGTCTTATTTTTTTATTTTTTTAAAAAATATTTAATTTTGAATGATAAAGACAAAAGAAATTTATCTGTCAAAGTTAAATATGGCAACACACACCTGGAAACAAACCAGCTCCATGCCAACCTGGGTAGTATGGTCAGACCCTGTCAGAGAGGAGGGAGTGAGAGACAGGAGGCAAAGGAGACGGGAGGAGAAAGGAAAGAAAAGAAGACCAAGTCTTAAAATAGAAAGCCTGAAAAAGGAAATGTTCCATGGATAAAGCTTTTTTTTTTTAAAGTGGTGTTCTTGATCTATAGAACATGCTTGGCAAGTTATCACTAACCCTATCCTCAGCCCATGTATTTTACACTTCACTTTGTATTATATCGAGTTCACCAACATTCATTGAAGTATCCCCAGAAAAAAAGAGCTTTCATGACTATAAAATCTTTTATTATACAGAAATTATCTCTTGGAGCTATAGAAATAGCATCTGCATTCATATGCACACACACACACACAATTAAAAATAAAATAAAATCTTAAAACCTTTAGGAACTAGAGAGGTAGTTCTGCAGTTAAAAGTACTGACTCTTCTTCCAAAGGACCAGGTTCAATTCCCAGTACCCACACAGAGGCTCTACACTGGTCAGTAACTCCAGTTCCAGGGGATGTGACCCCTGCTAGCACCAGGCTCACACATGACACACAAGTGTACATCCAGGCAAACTACCTATACACATAAAAAAATAATAATAAAAAGTTTTCAAAAGAAATTTATCTATTATATGAATTATATTATTCCTTTGTCTCTTAATATTAGTTTTAGTAACTATTATTTAAGTACGTTTCCAATTGTTTGTTTAGGATAAATATCTTGAAATAACATTATCAGATAAAGCTTCCAAAAAAATTTTAATTTATCCTTTTTTTTTCTTTTTTCTTGTTTGGTTTGGTTTTTTGAGACAGGGTTTCTTTGTGTAGCCTTGGCTGGAACTCATTCTGTAGACAAGGCTAGCCTTGAACTCAGAGCTTCACCTGCCTCTGCTTTTCAAGTGCTGGGGTTAAAGTCAAATTTATCCTTTTCTTGTTAGCAAACATGAAGTGTTTTATTTGTTTGTTTGGTTTTGTTAGTTTTTGAAACAGGGTCTTATATGTAGTTTGTGCTGGCCTGGAACTTGGGTCTTGGTCTACAGACCATTCTTGGCTTGAACTCACAGAGGTCTGCATGTCTCTGCCTCTTGAGTCCTCAGAATAGGTGTGCATCACCATGCCCAGTTTTCTCAGTTGTTTGGAAGAGCAGCCACTGCTGTTAACCATTGAGCTATATCTCCAGCCTCCTTTTTAAAATTAGATTTGCATTTCTGTTTTTAAATAATACTTTTATTAGTTTTGTGAAAATTTTGCACTTTCTATTTGAGCATATTAATTTCCTTGCTTGCATCTCCCCTGCTCCTTCATTTGAGTTCAATTTGTGTTGCCCAAATATTCTTGGGTGCAGGCCTGCCCTGGACTGAGGTGGACCCCTGATAGGTCACACCCTTAAAGGAAGTTGACTCTTTTCCACAGCTGGGGGTAGGGCTTGAATCCCACCTCTTTCTCTTGTATATTGGCAGAGTCTATTTTCAGTGTTGTACAGATGTTAAAATTTGATGTGCATTTGTTTTTTTCAGGAAAATCTTTGAAAGACATGGAGACACCATTGTCAGCACTTGGAATACAAAATGGTTGCCGGGTCATGTTAATTGGAGAAAAGGTGAATTGCTTTTTCCATCAAAATTCTTGAGAACTGAATGGCTAAAGTCTTTGATACATGTTTCTGTATAGAAGGCCAAGTTTGTTACCCTGTTCAGCATTGGTGACATGCCTCCTTAAATGAAGCCTGATGACATCACCCAGTTTAGTTGTTCCATTATTTGTGGCATTTCTATTCTGTTGATTAGACTTTTGCTCTTGAACTGAGGAACCACTGTGTTTCCGCAATGATGCAGCTTTTGTATTTGTTGACTCTGTTTAGCTAAAATGTGCCAGAACTAGGCTTTCCTTAGAATTCTCAAGAGAACCTTTGGTAAAGCTGTAGATACCACAAGTGAGTACCCTTGGTCAAGTTTCTGGAGCCTGCCTTCCTGTAACTGCTTCTTTTACTAAAATCTATAAGAAGAAACCCAACTTTGAGTAGAAAGATTCAAACTTAATAACTGAGGGGGAAAGAGAAGGAGTTAGTTGGTGACAGGTGAGGGCTGTGGCCCCTGAGGTGATGGACACTGTGCCCAGCCCTGCATTGTGACACAGTGGCATTACTGAACTTCAAAAGGTTTCTTAGTGATGTGGCTGAGTATATTGAAGACAAGGATGAGCTAAATGGGAGAAATGAAAGTCTAATCTTGATTTGGAGCCTCCAGGAGACTGGGCTTGAGATTTGGCCACAAAGAAGAATGAACAGTTTAGGGGAGTGTAACAAAGCCGGAAGCTGCTGGCCCTGGATGCCAGCTGTGGGAGAGAAAGGATACTGATGTCTGGCTGAAGCTTTTGAGAACAGCATGGCAGCAGGCAGTACCCATGGTCTCAGTTTGCAGAAACTGTGGTAGTTTCGGTTAAAACTGGTTAGGATCAGGAGCCACATCTAAATTATAGTCTGTCCCTCCCCTTTGGACATTGGGACTTTAGGTCCCATTACTACAAAAAGCTCCATTTTCATTATAAAACAGTTTTTACCTCTTAGGGTTGTGGCAGGGCTTAACAATAGCTTAGGTAACATGGTGAGCATAGTCCCTGGCATATGAGGAGCATTCAATAAATTATTGTCACCATCATATTAAATAGTAGAGTTCAACATTTCCATTTGAAAGGATATAGTCATAAACCAAACATGGTGACACATGCCTGTAATTCTAGCCTGGGGAAGATACAGGCAGCTGGATCCGGAGTTCAAGACCATCCTCCCATTTCATAGTAAGTAGGAGGCCACCCTGTGCTATTTAAGACACTGCCTGGAAAAAGAAAAGATTTGTCATACTGCTGAGCGTGGTAGTGCATCATTTGTAATCCCAGCACTTAGGAAGCTGAGGTGGGAGGAAAGACTTATCCTATTTTATGTGTATGACTATTTTGCCTGCATTTCTGTGTGTGTCCTATGTTTATGACTGATGCCCATGGAGGCTATAAGAGGGGCTGGACTCTGTGGAACTGAATCACAAAAGATTGTGAGCCACTGTATGGGTCCTGGAAACTGAACCCAGGTCCTCTGGAAGAGCACTGAATTCTCTCTAGTCCTTGCTTACACTGTTGGAGTTGGGGTTAGCCCAAGGCTAAGGCTGAATTTGATGCTTGGATTGGCTCCATTCTCTGTGCATACATCGTTAAGATTCTCACCAGATGTTTGCCTCACAGCCTCCATCGCCCTGGACTAGACTTTGTAGATAGGAAACTTTATAGTCTAACCCTTTACCATACTTTCCAAGAAGTATCAGAGTTAGTTCAGTCTTGTGGGTGAGTGGTTTAGCCCAGTTGTGGTCTGATTTTCTTCTGACAGACTTCTGTTCTTCTTTGTGATTACTGACCTCATTTTATTCTTTATGTTAGAGCAATCCAGAGGAAGAGGTTGAGTTAAAGAAGCTGAATGATTTGGAGGTATCTGTAGAGAAGACAGCTAACCACCTGGAAGAGTTGAATAAAGAGCTTTCTGGCATCCAGCAGGTGACATCTCTGTTCTGTAGATACAGTGCTATGGTGTTGTTGCCTGGTTGGCTTAAAAAAAAAGAAAAAAAAAAAGATTTCTTTTTAAAATTTTATATATATGTATATATATGTATGTATGTATGTATGTATGTATGTATGTATTTTTGTATGTGTGCATGTCCACATGCACATGTGCGTCTGTGTGAGAGTAAGTGCTTATGTGTGCTGGTGGGACTAGAGGAGGGAGACCAGAAGTCTCAGATTCCCCTAGAGCTGGAGTTACATGAGGTTGTGAGCCTCTATGTGGATTCTGGGAATAGAACTCAGATCATCTAGAAGAGCACTACACATTCTATATACGCCTGCATGCCAGCAGAGGGTGTCCGATCCCAGGATGATTGTGAGCCACTATGTGGTTTCTGGGAATTGAACTCAGGACCTCTGGAAGAGCAGACTGGAAGTGCCCTTAGCTACATCTTCCAGGCCTGTTTTGTGTTTTTGATTATAAAATTATTTATGATACTTACCTAAAAGTTTTAAATGTACCTATAGATTCAAACTGAGGCCTATCACATCCTAAACTCTGTCCTTTTACTGTTGCTTCTTGTGTGCACATATTAACTTGTGATCCAGAGATTCTATTACTCTGAAAAATGTTTTACCTCTATCATATTAAATTTTAATATGATGTACATTTGGTAAATTTTTTTATTGACTAAAATTAACATTTTCCTGTGTCATTGAAAGTGAGCATATTTTATTGCATATGAATATATCGTGGTTTACCTAACCTAGTCTCTATTCTCTATTGTTTTACCTAATTATTTTTTCTGTATGTGTGATGCTTCTTTTGGTGCCCTTAGACCTTAAGTCTTTTTTGAGCAGTTGTGATTATTCTTGATGGGATTGAATTTGGATTTTTGAGTGATATTTGAACTTCTTGCTGTATGTTGTCAAATATGCGTTTGTTACTCTGGCTTGATAATCCCTTTTCAGAAAGTCCTGCTTTTCAGCTCAGTTGCCAGCTAACTGATGATTAGGCAGAGAGATGTGAATAAACAGCAAGTGGTGTAAAGAGCCTAAGCGCTGCTTGAAGCAGTGTGGCTTGCACACCTATAATACCAGCCCTTCTGAGATGGGGAGAGGGGAGTCAGGAGTTCAAGGGGAGCATTGACTATGCAGTGGAGACCAGCTTGTACTTCACAAGATCTGTCTCAAAACAGGACTAAAATGAATACTGCCATCCTCTGTTATCATTTGTATCTGTCTGTGCCATGAGTTACTTGAGCATCTACACATCTTCCCCTTCAGAGAGCAGTGAGACATGGATAGTTTAAGTAACTTGTCCTGCTGGGACGCATGGCAGCATGCAGGCAGACATTGTATTGGGGAGGAAGCTGAGGGCTCTACACCTGGATCCACCAGTAGCATATAGAGGAACACACTGGGCTTTTGAAACCCTGAGCTTTTGAAACCCCCAGTGACATGTTTCCTCCAACAAGGCCACACCTCGTGATTCCTTTCAAGTATTGCCACTCCATAATGACCAAGCATCCAAATATATGTGCCTGTGGGGGTCATTCCTATTCAAACCACCACACAGAGAATGTTTGACAAAGTCACCCCATGCCAACCTTTGATGTCCACATGCTGTATACATGCCATTGTGCTAGCATTTAAGTGTGTGTTCTTAATGTCTGTCTAATGTACAAGTATACACTTGTGTTGAAGGCTATACATTGTTAGGCCTCAGGAGACATTCAGAGCACCAGTGGCCTGTGTGAGAAAGAACAGTCTGCAGCCTGTAGAATTCTTAGACTGGCCAAGGCCACATTTTTAAATTTCCCAAGGGATGAAGGTCTGAGATTCTGCCTGGCTTATTAGATCAATGGTGAACTCTGGGTCGCTTCTCCAGTCTATGGCATGGTTTTCCATGAGTCTCAAGAAACACTTGCATTGGTCCCTTATTCCTTCACAGGGTTTTCTGGCTAAGGAATTGCAAGCAGAAGCTCTCTGCAAACTTGATAGGAAAGTAAAGGCTACAATTGAGCAATTCATGAAGATCTTAGAGGAGATTGACACAATGGTAAGTAAATATTCAGATACTAGTCTTTAATGACAGTATTTCAGTCCATTCTATCATCTTGTACTTCTGTTATCTGGGAAAATCTGTTACTTGGGGGTGTCAGGCATCTACCTGTGTGCCAGGTACTATATATCATAGTTAACCTTAACTGTCAACTCAGCACAGCCTAGCGGTACCTAAGAAGTGCATCTCAATTGAGGGAATTTTACTGATCTGGGTGGTATATGGGCACGTGGGGACGAGGTTGTTTTGGTAATTGATATAGCCCATTATGGGCTGCATCCTTCCTGGGCTTTGTAAGAAAGCTAACTTTGAGCTGGAGAGATGATCAGTGGTTAAAAGTACTGGTTACTTTTCCAGAGAACCTAGGTTTGATTTGCAGAACCCACACAGTGGCTCACAACCATTGTAACTCTAGTTCTAGGAGATCCAGTATCTTCTTCTAGCCTCAAGTACCAGGTGTGCATGTGGTGTACGTATACACCCATGAAATAAACCTTAAAAAGAAAGCAAGCTAAGCGTGGGCCAGAGTGAGCCAGCAAGCAGTGTTCCTCCATGGCTTCTGCTTTATCCTGCCCTGACTTCATTGATAATGGACCATGAGCTGGAAGTATAAGCCAGATAAACCCTTTCCTCTTTTAACTGATCAGAGTGTTTTTCCACAGCAGCAGGGAGGAAATAGGATAGCATGCTAGGTTCTGGGTGAATATATGGATTTTCTGATCTGCAGGCATTTACAGGGCTTTTGTAATATATTTGATGAGTGTGTGCGTGTGTGTGGTCATGGACCTGGAGCCCAAGAAGTTTATGATCTTGTGGTTAAGGTTTTCCTAAGGCTTGGGTGGCTGGTGATGTTGCTGAGCTAGTGTCTGTTACAGATTCAGCCACATACAGATCCTGGGAGGCTGTGAAGCTTTGACCCAGGTTTCTTTAACAGATGATTGTTGTAGTAAATAAAAAAATAAAATGAGTGTTGGGCTATATAATGTTTATCATTTGTCTTAAGATTATGATGGCGGTATTATTTAACTCACTATCACAAATAATAAGATGCAGACACCTGTTAGATTTTATAATTGCCTTATTTCCCTTGGGCTGGGCAGATAGTTCACCTACGCTGGCTCAATATCCTCACCATCTATCTCCGAGCCCCATCCAATGCCATCCACCTTCACCATTCCTATCTGGACTCTCTTTCATCCATAATCCCAAGATACTTGCTTGTATCCTTCATCTGGGCCTCTTCACACCATTATTGGAGTCCTTCCTCCAGGCCCCATGTGGGTCCTTCTCCAGCCTAACCCATTGTGGTGTCTTCCTCTCTTCCTGTGATTCTCTCTTGAACCCAGAAGTCTGGGAATCTTATCCACGCCTACCCCATTCTGCCCTGCCCAGGTATAGGCTATTTAATCAACCAATCAGGTATGTATTAGGCAGGTTTACGAAACAAAGATAGGTATAACCAGATCTTGAGCGCCAGATCTGATCTGATCAGAGGTTGCATCAGACCAACCTCCAACAGATGATAGTAAGCGGGTCTCTACCTGGTACTTCACTCTTGAGACTGAATGTCTCTGCTGTTCTGGCAGAGGGATTTAAAAAAACCAAAACAACAGAAGGTACTTTCCCTGGCATAGTAGTATCCATACATAGGAAACAAAGAAAACCCAAAATCTGTGTTCCAGACATCGCAACCAAGGGAGGGAGCCATCTTAGGAATAAGAGCCATAAGAGGACTCACACAGAATGCAGACCTAGAGAACTGTACCTGAAAACGCTCATCCCACTCTTATTGCTGACCTGTTTGGTGTATTGTATGCAATTCCAGTGTTTCATGTCATTGTCACTGCTGGTGTCAGTTGTCTGGTGTCAACTGTTTCTTCCATAGGTCCTACCAGAAAATTTTAAAGACAGCAGGCTAAAAAGGAAGAATTTGGTGAAAAAGGTTCAGGTGAGTTATGTGGCAGTACATAACAAGCTATAATATATTAGTGTATTGGTATGTATGTTTATCTGTTCGAACCAGGGGTAGTGTAGAACTGTGATAAGAGGGTGGTCTGTTATTGTTTATTAGCATGAACCCAAGAAGGGCATTCTTGTCCTCTTTTTACCTCATTTAATCAGTTTGGGCACATTCTTTGGAGAGCAGGTAGGGCTGGCAAAGTTCCGGTAAGGGCCAGTGGTGTGTTCTGTGCCCCGTTTTGAAAGGTTGTTGGGCTAGAGCATAGTCAGAAACCATGGCCCTTTGTTTCACTATTCTTTACTCCTGTTCCCTTTGTAGTCCAGTCTGCGAGCCCATGTCCATCCATGTACAGTCTATTTAGAGTCTAATCTACAGTTCCCTCAGGATGGCTAAGTAAAGCACCTTTTACGGGCAATGGGTGGCCCTGAATTTCACTGCCTCTGTCTGTCTTGTAGGTGCTCCTAGCAGAGTGCGACACAGTGGAGCAATACATCTGCCAAGAGACAGAACGGCTGCAGTCTACGAACTTGGCCCTTGCTGAATGAAGTGTGGTAGAGAGTGTGTGTGCTGGCCTGAGGGCAGCTTCATAGCCCTGCTCACTCTGAAACAGAAGTTGCTTGTTTCTCTAGGGTGGCCAGAGGCAACTGGTCAAATGTCAATTTCGCTATTCCTCCATCAGTTCTCAATGAAAAAGTACTGTCTTTTTCAACCTCAAATAGACTTCCTGTTTTCTCATTGTGGATGTGTGGTTGTGCTGTCCCTCAGCTGCCTTTGCAGGAGAGGCTGCCCTGCCCATGTGTTACCAGCTCTTGTCACCCAGTTGCTTTCTGAGCTGGGAAGAACTCTAGTTTATCTGGAGCTAGTTCCAGGTTTGTAGGACACTCTCTTCTTCAAATTCATGAACTTGTGACCTCAGTTTGTAGAGGTAAGAGCAGGAGATTGCGTCCAGATGGGAATGTTGGATACAGATTTGGTACCTTGACAATCCGCAGACTACCTTGCTGTTTTGCTGTGACCTGATTCTAGAACATCTGACTGCATTGATTTTTTAAAGACCTTGTCTTTATCCTCCACTGCCCCTCCTCATTCTCCACTGCCCCTCCACATCCTCCACTGCTTCTCCCCATCCTTCACTGCTTCTCCCCATCCTTCACTGCCCCTCCTCATCCTCCACTGCCCCTCCTCATCCTCCACTGCCCCTCCTCATCCTCCACTGCTTCTCCACATCTTCCACTGTCCCTCCCCATCCTCCACTGCCCCTCCTCATCCTCCATTGCCCCTCCCTGACCTCCACTGTCCCTCCTTATCCTCCACTGCTTCTCCACATCCTCCACTGCTTCTCCCCATTCACTATGTAGCTCTGTCTGTTCTGACATTCACCATGTAGACCTGAGATCTATCTGCCTCTGCTTCTCACGTGCCAAGTACTGGGATTAAAGACAAGCACCACTATGCCTGGTTTCAAGGTGCTTTTTTTTTTTTCCTCTCTCCAGTTTTTTTTTTTTTTTCTTTCTTTGAGACAGGGTTTCTCTATGTAGCCCTGGCTATCCTGGAACTTACTCTGTAGACCAGGCTGGCCTGGAACTCAGAGATCCATCTGCCTCTGCCTCCTAAGTGTTGGGATTAAAGATGTGTGCCATCACCGCCCAGCTTCAAGGTGCAATTCCAAGTTGGGCCCTGTAGTTGGATGAATGACCTTGCCCCCAAACATATCTCCAGAATGTTCAGAACCCAATGTCAAGTGAGTCTCTGCCTGAAAGCAGTTCAGAACTGTGGCTTAGGAAGGCCAAGATGGTAGTTTGAGTGTATAAGGGAGAAACCAGATGACAGCTTCTGTTAACCATACCCTCTGAGCTCTGGTCCCTTCTGAGGCTCTGCCTGTTGATTTTGTTGACTTCCGCTTCCACTGTTTTATTTTTATATTTTTTACATTATATATTTTTATCTTGTGTATATGAGTGTTTTGCCTGTGCGTATGCATGTGCATGCAGTGCCCTTGGAGGTCAGAAAAGGTTGGCAGATCTTGGAAATGGAGCTAGACACAGTTGCTAGCTGTCATGTGGGTGCTGCCTCCTCCCTATCCTCCACAGAGCCAGCGGTACTTGTACTGCAAAGCCATCTCTCCAGCCCCTCCACTGCTTTTAAAGTCAGTTTGTGTGCTGTTATCAAGTACAAGAGTATTTGGAATGTACATACTCTCTCTCTTTCCACAATGCATGTGTCCCTCCTTTGGACAGAGTTGCTGTACATCCTAGGCTGGTCTTGAACTTGTCTTCCTTTGCCTCCTGAATTCTTGAATTTTAGGTGTACACAACTGTATATAGTGTTTATTTCTTGTTTATATGAGAAAGAAAAGACTTATGGCTTGCCAGCATTTACGTTTGATGAAGCTGAGAGTGATTCTGTCTCTTTTAAGTTAGTCAGTTGCTGTCAGCTCATTTTTTAGCACATTACTCAGGAGACAGACTCTCAACAGGCCACTCTGAGGCTTATAACCAAGAGGGATTCACTGAAGTCCCAGTGATTTAGAACTGAGTAGATAAGACATCAGACCTGGTGGTAGAGGCAAACAGGTAGACAGGCCCCACGTCCAACTTTACTGGAGCAGTTCACTGTCTGTGTCATGTGGCAGTCATTTGGCCGTGTTACTGTGGGATTTGAGGAGATAGCTTAGTTGGTGAAGGGTTTACCACACAAGGAAGAGGATCTGAGTCTCATTTCAAAGCTCATGTTTTTTGTTTTGTTGTTTTGTTTTTTAAAGCTGGCAGTAGTGGCACATGTTTGTAATCCTAGCACTGGGAAAATAGACAGGCTCACTGGGGCTCACTGGCCAGCTAGTCTCTGTTTAAAAAAGAATAAACAGTGTGGATGGCTAGTGAGTAACAAAGTCTGAGGTTTTCTCTGGCACTGCACACACAGAAAACTCAGCTACTCAGCACAAAGCACTGGTTTTTGTATATCTCAGTGATCTGATCCTCACATAATAAAGAGGGAGAGGACAGGGAGAAGGTGACAAAGCTGGGCACTTTGTGTCAGAATTCTGTGTGTGTGTGTGTGTGTGTGTGTGTGTGTGTGTGTAATTTGTAGTATGTATATGGAAGTTTTGGTTGCATGCATGTCTGTGCTCCATGTGTGTGCTTGTTGGCTGCAGAGGCCAGAAGGGGACATAGATCCCCTGAGACTGGAGTTATAGACAGTTGTGAGCTGCCATGTGAGTTTTGGGAATTGAACTTGGGTCCTCTGCATGAGCACCCAGTGCTCTTAACTTCCAAGCCATCTCTAGCTAGCTGGCGCTCTCTCTCTCTCTCTCTCTCTCTCTCTCTCTCTCTCTCGTAGTGCTGGGAATCAAACCCAGGGCCTTAGACATACCAGGCAAGCTTGCTAACATCCTCCACACATGCTGTTAATTTCTGCTTTCTTCCAAATTGGCATGGAGTCATACACACTTGTTCTGTTCTTTAAGATATATTTTTGTAAAATGTGTGTGACACACACACTCATGATAGCCACAGAGGCCAGAGGTGCTGGTAGCAGTGGTTGTGATTTGCCTGCCGTGAGTGCTGGGAACCGAACTCGCGTTCTCTTACAAGAGCAATATACTCTCAACTGCAGAACAACCATCTCCAGCCCCTTGAAGGTTAGTGTTGTCAACTTGACAATGTAGAAACCTGGGAAGGTTTGACTAAATTAGGTTGGCCTGTGTATAAGACTGAGTATGTTAATAAGTCTTGAGTATGTTAACTGAGGTGGGAAGACAGATCAGATCCACTGTGGGCAACACCAGACCCTAGGCAGAGGATTCTGAACTGTATGAAGACTGAGCACTAGCATGTATGCATTCAGTCTCATGTATGCAGTGTGACCAACTTGGAACTAAAGAGCCAAATAAACCCCTTTTCCTTAGTTGCCTTTGTTGGGATATTTATCATAGCAACAGGATACAAAACTAAGACAATTGGTCTCTACCTCTCTCCAGTTCATTCTCAGAGCACCCTAAGTGATGTAAAATATGTGAGAGTTCTATTTAGAGACCTCCAGTGGCTCCAGTGCCCCTTAGGATAAAGACCCTACAGTCCCTGCCAGACATGGTAACTTACATGTATAATCCTAGCGCCAGAGAGGCTGACTCAGGAGGATTGTCATAAGTTCAAGGGTACCCTTACCACACTGTGAGATCCTGTCTCAACACCTGTCACACCCTTCAGAAGAAAAGATAAGAGTCCCTTTCTCTGTCTTCTCTCACGTTATTCTGGCCCCTCAGCCATTCTAGTCTCTCAGGTTCCCAGATTCATGGTGTTTCCTACTGCTCTGGGGGTCTTTGCACCTCCTGCTGTCTCTGTGGACAGCCTCACACCAACTTTCCTCTACTCCTTTGTTAGGTGACTTCTGTTCATCTTAGGACATCATCAGATTTCCACAGAGAAATCCCACCTCTCTGAGACTCTGTTCAGGCCCAGCTGGTGTGAGCCAGTCACAGTGGATATGTCAGCAGGGCAGGTATGCTGGTCATCCTGCTGTGCTAGGAGCTGACCTGAGACTGGACCTGAGATCTAGGGCTCTCCAGATGATCTGTGTAGGGAAGCACTCACATTGCCCAGTTGTGAATGTTTATTAATACACACCTAGTCCACAGCACTCAGGAGGCTTGGGCAGGAGGCTTCAGAGTTTAAAGCCAGCGTGGGCTTTTGTGTCTCAACCAAAAAAAAAAAAAAATTGTTTGATATTATAAGAAGTAGTTGAGTTGTACGGTGCACACTGCCTGAATGCCAGCTGCACCCTGTCAAGCACGTGTACGTGCATGTGCCTCCAAGTGCTGGTCAGCTCCGGAGAAATCCGTGCATGGATTCAGGGCCATTTCACCTCCCACATGGCATCAGGATGCTCCTCTCACTTAGGTTCTTGGTCTGAGGTAGGTGGAGCACTGGGTGGTGCCCTGGGGTCAGTCTGCCCTCAAGAAGATAGAAGATGACTGGAGCCCTAACCTGGGACGTGTAATAAGGTTGGGGTCTGCCAGGGCAGCTGGGTAACATTCAGCTGGGAAGCTGATTGCATACTTTCGGCCGTCTCCCCAGAGTTCCCAAAGACTGGTCCACATCACCAGCTGGGGCTGCATGTTTTATTTCATATCATAGCCTCTGGAGCATCAGTGTTCTTCAGCAGGAAGTTTCATGGCTTGAGTGCACCTCTGAGCTCAGCATTTGCCATCCTTTATGATCTGGATGTCTTTTCTGGTTTTCCTAGAATCAGAGAAGACAAGGATGAGGCCATTAACTGTAGGAACTGTAAGAGGTGATTAAAAAATGAGGTCCTGTCCAGGTAGAGTCCGTGCTGATCCCCACCTTGAACTATGCTGATGCAGATTCAGGGATCTGTTAGCACACACTTTAGAAGCTGACCCTCTTAGACATGCTCTGAGAACTTCCAGCTTCCTGGGGTCTCAGCTACCACTGTTTGCTGACAGCCACCAAACCTCTGTTCTGTACTTGCACCTATAGCATGGCCTCACTAAAATATATCAGAGGCCAAACTGTCCATAAACATCATTGCATCCCAAAGCTGTCCTTAGAGCCCCCATCTTACCACTGGCCATCCCAGGCCATAAGTAGCATGTACTAGGGCTGGAACCACAGGGCTGGGATCCCTTATTCAGGAGTCTGGGCAAAGAATTTTAATGTCAAGGCCTTCCTGAGCTTTATAAAATGAGTTCAAGGCCTGTTTAAGAATGAAGGGTGCAGGTGTAGCTGAATGGTAGAGTGCTTGCCTAGCTTATGGGAGGTTCAATCCCTAGTACTGAAACCAAACCAAGCCAGGAATTCAAGATCAATCTGGGCAATATAGCAAGACCCTGTTTCAGAAAGAGTAGAGAAAGGGAAGGGAGGGAGGGCAGTTGTTCTTTATCCTCTCTCCTCTCACCCTCCAATCACAGACTGAGGATGTCAGTTCTGCCCCCAAATGTCTCCTTACCATAAGCTTTGATCATGACCAGAGCCAGGACCCTATTGATTTACATTTCTTCCAGTGCAGACTTTCACATCTGCCTAAAGAGCTTGGCATTAGCCAAAGATCTCTATCTCCCTGATCTCACTAGGCTCTCAGTCTGATAATTTGACTGGTGAGGATACTGAGACCAAGGTTGTGGTCTAGCCCCTGCTTGTCTCATTTATCATTTCTTTCCCCACTTCACATTCTGCTATATCCAACTTCCTCCTCTTCCTTAAACTAACTTAAACTAACTTTCCTTTAGAGACCTTTTCAAATTCCCTTGTTCCTGGAATTACAATTCTTCCTTTTCTCTAGCTGATTTCTGCTTATGTTGCAGGGATGAGCATGGGTTTTACCTCCTCTAGTCTTCTCTGGCCCTGCTCATTTTCTGCTTCTGTGTAACTCCCTCTGAATCTTGAGGGGGCTGACTGTTGCCTTGGCCTCCCTTTCTTAGCCTATTCCCAGAGACTAGAGAGGCTCTCAGGTAGTAGCCGTAGTTGGCTAGAGGAATGAAAGATCAGATGTGAGTGTCTAGTCAGGGACAGAACAAGGAAAATAACAGGGTTTCTGCAGCCTCCACCCAGTCAGTTTCTGGCTTTTGACCTGGATCCCTGTGCTTTCTTTGAGTTACATTTAGCTCATTCTGTTAGACAAATGCCTGCGGACTCTTCTTTGGCTAAGTCAGTGTGTGTGAAGGAAGATGAGGTCAGGCCCTGCTCCTTTCAGACTTGCATGACCCAGAGAGGGGGGCCACCCAAAGAAGTTGGACGGGGGGGGGGGGACTTACATCCTGGTAATGCAGAGATGACATTCATTTTTATATGTGAGCCCATCAGTGCCACAGATCAGGTTAGGTGCCTGGGAACAGTTTGGAGGATCTGCCATGTGCTCACAGATGGGCTGTGAAAAAAAGAAGTAGTGGATGATTCAGAGGCAGTGCTCAGGGGCCGAGGGTGCTGCTTGGAACAGGAAACCAACCCTTCAGGACTCCATGGTGTGTCTACTTGTGTGTGTGCATGTGGAGCCGATGTCTGTTGAGCTGTGGTGACATCCTGCGTGTGCTCATGTGTGTGGAGGAAGTCTGTGCCCCTCAAAACTTCCAGGGACTGATTCACACACTCATCATTGGATGTATTTAGAAAATCTGCTCTGGGTCCATTTGTGAGCCCAGTGACCAGCCATCCATCATTCCTAGGAAATGTTTCACTTACCAAGGCCAAAATTGTCTTTTTTGTGTGTGCATATGTATGCATGTATGTGTTGGAGGGAGTGGGGAATAATGTATACATATTTCTAGAGGCCATTGAACATCAGATATTGTTCCTTAAGAACCATTCACATTGTTTTTGTTTGTTTTGAGACAGGTCCTCTCATGGCCTGGAACTCACCAGGGAGACCAGGCCAGGTATCCTGCAAGCACTAGGGATGTTTCTGTCTCAGTTTCACAAGTACTAGGGCTATATGAGCACTGGAGGTCAAACTCAGGTCTTCACATTTACAAGGCAAGCAGTTACTGACTGAGCTCTCCCAGCTCTTTATTGCCTTTCAGGACCCTGCAGGAAGGCTGGAGAAATGGTGCAGGTCTCATAGCTTAGTCTCAGACAGAGAGGTTCTCAGGCCGAGGGAGAATTGAGTCAAGACTGGGATTGGAGCCTGGGTCAAGGAGGGGCGAGAGAGGCAGGGCAAGGGTAGCAGTAGAAACCCATGCTCTGCAGCTGGGCATGGCGGCGCACACCTGCAATCCCAGCAGTGGGACAGTGGAAGCAGGAGGGACACAGTTCTTTAACTAGTTATTTAACTAGTTAAAAATCAGCCTCCACCACATGAGACCCTGCTTCAAAAACAAAACAACTAAAGTCTGCATTCTAGTGACCCCAGTTCAGCCACTGAGGCTTTGTAAACTTGGTAAGTTATTTACATTCTCAGAGCCCCAGTTTTCTCCTCAGTGAAAATGGTAGATGACAGTGTTCATCTCACATAGGATTAGCTGAAGCCATACATATAAAATATTCAGTTCTTTGGAACCAAGTCAGACTGGGTTCAAAGGACTAATGAATAGGGAAGATCCTGAGGTGATACTCGGGCCTTGTCTTCGGAGGTGTGAGACCCAAGGTGGAATCAGGCAGCCTGGTGTTTGCCCACTTAAAGTGAAGGGACAAACAATGAGCTGTGCATGGTAGAGGCCAACATGCCCCTCAGTGTGTTGGGGTGTGACCTCTTTGGGGCCTGAAACCTGTGACCTGTCTTGTGCTACACAGCACAGCAGGTGCTGCCACGCTGGGTGAAGAGTTGCCGCTGAGGAAAGGACCTTGGAGACCTGGGTTGCCAGATCCTGAGGGCTTGAGCCCAGGTTTGGAGCTTGAGCCTGCTTAGTCTGGAGGAGGTATCTGAGGAAAATGCAGGTTCAGGAGGCGGCCTTTGGCCAGTTGAAGGTGTCAGCAGAAGGGCAGATATGCTAGAGTGCCTGAGAACTCCCAACAGAGTGATGGCCTTACCATTCTTGAGAAAAGGAGCCTTCCCGCTGACACTTGCAGCTCTGAAAGACAAAATGAGCAAAATAAAGTGCTGTGCTGTCAGCTCTGGCTACCTGGTCAGAATGTGAGAATGCCTCCTGTGGAGCACCTGACCTAGGTGCTGCCAATCTGGACTTCTCAAAGAAAGGGAGATGCAGATGACGGGACTAGCAGACAACTGACATATTGTTGGGTTATATGAATAAAGACAGAAAGTCTGGAATTACTTCTAATTACTAATTACTCTAATTACGCAGAGCCCAGTGGAATTTTTGTGTCCCATCAAATAATAATAATACAAAAAATCAGCTGTTACTGCTGGAGATTTCTCAGAGGTTAAGAGCACTGACTGTTCTTCCAGAGGTCCTGACTTCAATTCCCAGCAACCACATGGTGGCCCCTAATCATTTATAGTGAGATCTGATGTCATCTTCTGGTGTGCAGGTGTACATGCAGGTAGAATACTGTATAAATAATACATATTTTAAAAAATCAGTTAGCTGTATGTCAGACATTGAGAATACATGTCTTTTGGTTCTCTCCATACTCTCACCACTGTATAACAGAAGGAAGAGTGGAGGTAGTGAATGCTGTATCTGCTACCCAGAGTCCAGCACACGTCTGAGGAGTGCTGCCTGTTCACAGCCAGTCGCTTCCTAGGAATTATCCTTGGGGAATGGAGCTGCCTCACCCTACCTTGCCTCCCCTGTCATGGGTCCTGATAGCGGTATGGCTGCAAGACCAGCCCTCATGTCTTTGGAACACGCTGGAGGGGCCACCCAGCTCCAAAGCTTCCTGCAGGGCCAACTGACACATGCATACACTCAGCCAGCTTTCTTGTTCTGGGTGTGTAGCATTTCTACACTTCCCAGCAGCCTTGGCTCTGTTTGCTGGAACACTTAACCGACCTGTGATGGACCCCAGAGAGCTTGAATAACATGGTCGGATAAAGCAGAGCTATGAGTCACACACAGGTTTGCCACCCCAGGCCTGACTCCTGACACACTGTTGTGGCCCTCAAGGTTTGCCTGAGCTGCTTATTGGATGTGAATGAGCAAAGCGGTGTGTCCATGGGCATAGCAGGTGGGCGAGAGAACTTGGGCTGTGTCTAAGGCCCAGGTGGAGGAAGAGAGGCTCTGAAGGTTGGAGAAGGCATGGATGCTTCTAGATGACTCTGAAGGGCTGTCCAGAGTCTGATGGAGAGATGGGCTCTTCCTGCCTTACGTTAGGATCCTGTCAGTGCAAGAGACTGTGGGAAGGTGGACTACATTTCTGTGTGGAACAGAAAGCTGTGTTACCATAAAGAAAGCTGTCTCCAGCACTAGAATCCCACATCTACTGCAAGCTTAGCTGATTTGACCTTTTCTTGGGGATTTTCCAGACAAAGATAAAAAGGCATAGATGAAAACTGCCACCTCTAGTATGCCTTGTCAGCTTGGCAATGGGAGATCAAAATGTAAACCTAAGCTTGTCACCATAATGCTTAAAGTTTTCTCTTATAATGGTCATAACTAGAAATGACCCGGATGTCTTCCCAGAAGAGAACAGATAAGGCATGAAGCATATATACAGTGGAGTACTACACAGCAAGGAAAACAAGCACACGCAAGAGTGTAATCCTCGACCAGCTGCATTCTGTATCTTGAATATTCAAGTATTATGTATATGAACGCTCTGTCTTCATGCACACCAGAAGAAGGAAATAGGCCGCATTACAGATGGTTGTAAGCCACCATATGGTTGCTGGGAATTGAAGTCAGGACCTCTGGCCGAACAGTCAAGTGCTCTTAACTACTGAGGCATCTCTCCAGCCTCCGAGTTCTGCATCTTGATAGAGATTTGGAACATATAAGTTTGTGTGTTGTCACAGCACATCCATAAGTTTTCTGAGCAAAAATACTATGTGTTTCATGGCCTGTAACTATTAGGAAAAAAAATACTTACAAAGGCTGAGTGAGTGGAGGAAGGGACCTATAGTCCTTGCACTTGGGAAGTTGAAGCAGAAAGATCAAAAGTCCAAGATGAGACTGAAGTACACAGCAAAACAAAAAACTTCAAAAATTTAAAAGGCAGAACGTCCCTTCTCTGGTTCCCATCACTGAGTCTCACATGTTTATTAACTCCCAAGACTTTGCTCCCAGTTGCTTCCTTTCCCCCTTCCCCCTTCACCTCTCCTCTCCCTTCCCCTCTTCTCCCCCTCATCTCCTTTCACTTTCCCATGCCCTTTACTCCCTCCATCCACACAGTACCTTAAACATTCCAGACATGCTTCTACCTCAGGGCCTTCATATCGGTTAGTCCTCTCCATGATGGGGAACTTTCTTGTCCAACCTTCACTCCCTTACCTTTTTCAAGCGTTCCTCAAACCTGAACCTCTCTAAGAGACCTCCCCTGATTTAAAACTGCAGCTGCCTCTGAACCCCAATCTCCTAGTGCCATACTTCCCTTAGCCTTTATTGTGTACTTACATTGTACTCATTGTCTATCCCCTCCCCTATCCACCAAGTTTAAGATCTGCTGGGACAGTGCTTTTTGTTTGTGTTGGTCCCTAATATGTTAAAGGGCCAGTAAAGTCCCAGACAGTAACTGTGAGACTGTTGAGGTGCTCCAGGCTTGCCTGAGGAATCCCATCTCTGCTGTATGTGTCTAGCCACCCGAGGGCCCCCACCATATGTTCGGATGGCTTCCATTCTTTACCTTGTCAAGGCAGAACAGGACCATGAGGGCCCAGGCCAAGTCTCTCTTAGCACTTGACACCCCATAGTCAACCTGAGGCTTGACTGCTCCCTCTGTCTCCTCAGCCTCCAGTCCACAATGCCCAATGCAGCTTCAAATTGAAACAGCATTCTACTTCACAATTCCAAGGATGAGGACTTGGCAGTTCTGGTCCAGAGTCAGGACTGAACCCATTTCTTTTTTCCCACTATTCTAGAATGAATGCAGAAGAAAGAACTATGCAGAAAGCACGGTCTCACAGGAAACTGTAGGCCTTGCCTTGCCCCGACCCCTACAAGTTTACCTACTAAGATCAAGCTTCTGAGAATTCAAGTTCTATCCACTCACCCCTGTCCATGGCAAGGAAGGAAACCAAGGTCAGGGTGACCAACCACAGATGCATAGCCATGCTGCTCATGAGCTGGTGTGAACTCACCCACTGTGGTCTGGGCACAGAGTGAGGCTGGTGCCTATTTATTGTGCCAATCTACATCCTTATCTTATCTTTGGCCAGTTGGCAGCCAGAGTGTCACCCCAAGTTAATCTCTTCATCCTGACACCTGGAAAAGGCTTGCTCAAGGAATGATGCAGACTTTATGGTGCTGGGGCTGGGGCCAGGGACAGAGCTAGGGCTAGCAGGTGTTCAGAGAGAGCAAAGGTTTTTTGGATGGTTTGCAAAGTTGACTCCATTTATTGATTAAGGAGAGAAGTGGGAGAGAGTGGAAGCAGGGAGAAACACAAAATAGATGGCAGAGATAGAGGAAGAGAATCACGGTGCCTTTGTCAGGGCTGCCTCTGCCAAATCCATGATTCAAAAAAGCTGCTTTCCTTATTTGGAACTCAGTTGAGTGTTTCTTTGGTTTTAGTGCTGAGGACTGAGTTTCGTGAGGGCTGGGCAAATGCTTTTCTGCTGGTACATCCCCAACCCCCTTTTTACTCTTTGAGACAGGCTCCTGCTTAGTTGCTTAGTCAGGCCTCTTATTGGCTCTGTAGGGCAGGTAAGCCTTGAACTTGAACTTTCTGCTTCATCCTTCTGAGCAGTACAACCAGGCCTGCCCAACTGGGCCTCAGTTTACCAACACATGAAACAAAGATGACTGTTCTGGCTCTGCTTCCATCCTGGGGCGGCATCGAGCGCGGTGGTGATACCAGGCAGGAAAGCATTTTGCCAAATGTGGAATGAAGTACTGATTTTACAACCTTTTTAAAGCATTTTTTTCAGAGTCACTTATTTTTGTTTTTATGTGTTTGAATGTTTTTCCTGCATGTATGTGTGTGTACCATGTATATGCTTGGTGCCTTCAGAGGCCAGAAGTGGATGTTGGATACCCTGGAGTTATGGATGGTTGTAAAGCACTGTGTGGGGGCTGGAAACCAAACCCAGGTCCTCTGCAAGAGCAGCAAGTACTCTTAAACAGGGATCCACCTCTCCAGTCCCTAAAACTTACTTTTATTTTTTAATGTTTTTTTCTTTACACACGTGTTTATGTGTGCCTGTATGTGGGTATGCACATATATGAGCACCGGTGCTTGTGGAGCTCAGGAAGATTGGATCCTTTGGAGTTGGAGTTGCAGATGACTGATGTGGGTGTTGGGGACTGAGTTTGGGCCCTCTGCAAGAGCAGCATATGCTCTTAACTGGTAAGCCATTCATCTCCACTCCCTTTTTTGATACCATGAAGTGGGTACAACTAACTGACAATATATTTTGTTTTAATTACAGCATATTGGGGTTGGAGAGATGACTCAGTAGATAAGAATACTTCCTGTTTTTTCAGAGGACCCCGGTTCGATTCCAAGAACCCATATGATTTACAAACATCTATAATTCTATTTCTAGGGGATCCGAAGCCCTCTTCTGACTTCATTGAGCACCAGGCACGCATGTGGTGCACATGTATTTGCAGGAAAAGCACTCATACACATAAAATAAATAAATGTAAAAAAATAAAACACAGCACACTTCACATGCTCTATGGCTTGGCCCTATACCTGTGACCTCCTCTCAGTAAAACATAGTAAGAGAGACATGCTAAACTGGCCATGGTGGCATATACCTGCCATCTCAGTGCTTAGGAGACTGGGGAGGGAGGATTGTTGCCAGTGCCAGCTGTTCATAGACCAGCCTGGAATACAACTGAGATTCTGGCTCAGAGAAACAGAAGTACTTTTGAGGAGGCTCAACAGATAAAAACACAGGTAGCGCAAACCTGACAACCTGAGTTCAATGCCCAGAAATCACGTAAAGGTAGAAGGTGAGAACAGATGTACAAAGTTGTCCTCTGACCCCTACACTTTCATCATGGTACAAGAACACCCCCCCCCCCCCAGCATGCACTTGCATACAAACACACAATAATAAATAAGTGTTTATTTTAAAAAGATTTATTTTGCTTTTTATTTCTACAGTATTCTGGCTGCATGTACACTTGCAGGCCAGAATATGGCAGCAGATCTCATTATAGATGGTTGTAAGCCACCATGTAATTGTGGGAATTGAACTCAAGAATTTTGGAAAAACAACCAGTGCTCTTAACCTCTGAGCCATCTCTCCAGCCCCATAAGTAAATGTTAAAACTTAAAAATTTGAAAAAGAAAAATGCTGTCATGCTTTTCAGGTCCTCTGTGCCCATTTGCATTTTTACGGGATGCAGACAAGATTCTTTTCAAGAAAAGCAGTATCTATAACCCCTCCTTACCCGTATAATTTATATGAATGAGTAGTTTGTCTGCTTTCAAGCAATTTCTGATGTATTAAAAAGAACAATTATATTTACAAACTATTTTCTCCATAGTTAGATCAAGGTTAATAAGCTCTACCTGCAGATTAATTTTCCCTGGGAAGATAATTTAAAAAATGCAGATGCTAGCCAGTAGCGGTAGTGGAAGCCTGTAATCCTAGCTACTTTGTAATGCTGAAATAGATGGGGGCAAGTTTGAGGTCAGTCTGGCAATCTAATATGTTGTCTCAAGACCTCAACCTGGGGCTGATGATGTGCCTCAGCTGGAGTTTGCCCAGTGAGCATGACATCCTGGCTTTGATTCCCAGCACCCCATAATGATCACTTGTAATCCCAGCACTTGGGAAGCGAAGGCAGGAGAATCAGAAATTCAATATCATTGTCAGCTACTAGAAATTTTGAACCACTCTGAGATACATGAGATCCTGTATCAAAAGAAAAACAATGTTTTTGTTGCTGTTTTTAAGGCTGGCTTTGTAGCTTATTCATAGAGCACCTGCCTAGCATGAATTATTTTCTGTACTTGATCTCCTCACCACCAAAATAAATACATACCTATATCAGAGAATAAATAAAAACAAAGCCCTGCTTTTTCTGTTGCTTATTGTGAGTTACTTATTTTGAAAGATTCCGGGCCTCAGAGTTGTAAGAATAGTATAATGAACCAAGAGGAAGATTCTTTGGGAATCATCAGGCATCGAGGCAGACACCTCTGCAGCCCACATTGCAGTAGAACCTTGCCTGAAGTGTGCCCTGGTCCTTGACTCAGGTTCAAAATCCTTTTCCTCTTTGGGAACTGGCAAGGGTCCTTTGAGGTAGGTAGTAGAGTCCCTTACACAGCCAAGCCATGCAAATACTTGATGATTTCCTGATGTGAAGCAAGGTAGAGAGGAACTCAAAATGGTCCTCAAAATCAGGTCATCCACCTTCCACTCAGGATTTCCCCCCAGCAGCTCCAACCAGGAAGCCATTGACCCTGCAGTGGTGTGGCTGGAGCACACTACCAACCACTCTCACCACTGGAAGGCTTTGAACAGAACTTTTACCCAAGAGATCTGCTGTTCTGAGGCTTGTGGGGTGGGGGTATGTCCTAGATTTGACTCTGGCCCCCTGAGCCACAGAAATACCAGTGAACAGACGTGTCCCTTGCCTGCTCCCCCTCCCTTGCACACAGAGAGACTTCTGGAAAGCAATTCATTGTCTATCTGATCTCTTGCCATGTCTGTCATTGTCTCACATCAGTGTGAGAAAGGGACAGAGGGGACACAGGAATTTGTATATTTTCTCATTTTGAACTTCAGACCTCATGTTGCAGGGATACTACCAGTGGCTCTCCTTGCTGCAAGGAAGCAGGGATCTTCAACTGTGCATCCTTCAAAGTACGGAGGGCAGTCCATGGCATGTCAAGTCCACCACCATCCTACCTTGACAAAGATCTGTCTCTGGGCACTTTCTAGATTCATTCCTAGTAACTTCTTAACCTGTCATCCTGTTCAAGCATGGGCCTCACTACTGTACCCACCTGCAGCTGCACAGCACCCCATGACAGCGAGTCCATTTAGACAAGCCCACCCCATGCTCCACCAACATCTGAGGGACCTCAGAAACTGACCCTTAGTCTTGTTTGACTTACCACTGAGTATGCATGTCTGCTTCCTAAGTATTTCTTGTCTGTTTTCAGATAGGGTCTCCTATAGTACAGGCTAGCCTCAAACTCACTGTATAGGCAAAGTTGAACTGCTGATCTTTCTTCCTCTACTCCCCAAGTGCTGGGATCACAGGTGTGAGCCACCATGTCCAATGATTGTGAGAGGTATCTCTCTCAGATCTCTCAGTCTCTCTCTCTCTCTCAGGAGAGGGTTTTTCTGTGATGCCTTGGCTGTCCTGGACTCACTCTGTAGACCAGGCTATCTTCAAACTGAAAGAGATCGGCCTGCTTCTGCCGATTAAAGGCGTAAGACACTACTGCCAGGCCCTGAGTAACTCTTATGCCTTCTCCTCCTCACCCAAATCCACTGGTATGCCCTAGACCCACTACTACTGCATCTATCTTGGCCATTTCAATGATGCCTTCAAGTAATTTCCTTGGCTCACCATCTGCCACTCCAAAATCATGCAAAACAAGCCAGTTCATCTATGCCCCAGACACTGCAATGTTGGCCACTACTGACAGCATTTGGCTCAAGTTCCTGAGTCAGGCATGCAAAGCCCTTCAACATTGAATTCCACCCTGTTTTCCTCACTGTTCCTTGGACTTGTATTTTTTTTTAGTTCAACTGCATCCTGTGGATTGTATCCCCTTCTCTCTCTCTCTCTCTCTCTCTCTGTATGTGTACATTCTCTAGGGATCAGACCAGGTCCTCAAACACTATGTGGGTGCCCCACCCTCTAGCTACTTCCCTAGCCCTGTACAATGTGTTTCTTGCCAGTTATGCTGAGTCTCCCTCTCTGAACCACTCCCCACTGTAGTCCCAGTCCTTTGGAACAAGTGCTAGAAACTCTTCTGAAACCTTCCCTAAGAGCCCCTTCTTACTCAGCATTGCTGTCATTGGCCACCCCCAATGCCCTGCTCCTATGACTACATCTCCTCTCCCTTGCAGCCTCTCTCATGCTCTTCTGCTTTGCTGACAGCTATGAGATCCCTAAGAGAGAGGGTGATACTTCTTTTATCTGCACACACACAGAATGTGCTCAATAAATGTTGAGTGATTCACCCAAGAGAAAGCAGAGG